TAATATATAGAGGAATTATCACGATTAACTATATAAAGTCAAGCGATAATGTGTCGGATCCACTTACAAAAGGCCTAACTAGAGAGGTAGTTAAGAAATCATCGAGGGGAATAGGACTATGGCCGAGAACAAGCCATTGTAGCGGTAACTCTACCTAGAAGACTGGAGATTCCAAGATCTAGGTTCAAGGAGATCAAACAAATTCATTAATGACGGTTCAACATTATCAACTAAAGGTTTGATCCATTCTCGTGATGAGACAATGTTCAGTACCAAGGATAAAACATTAAGGCTTTTTAATGATTTTTAAATTTGATACGGTGTATATCAAATAGTGTATCTACGGGATGACACATTTAGGAATCGCCTATGTAAGTGTGAAGTGTTAGCCGCTTCAAGGAGAATTTTGTAAGGCCAATTCTCTACGCACTTATGAAACCATACGGTGTTCATAGCTGAAACGAACACAAAAATGAGAGCCAAAGACGGTTAAGGGTTGGTTGTGTGACTTATAGTTGTCTAGGTATACACCAAAGTTTGACGGTTCAAAGATATCAAATCTACCGATTGACCGAGTATATCCGACATAAGTTTACTACAGAAAGTTCAAAGAAAAATCTACTTATCTAGATGCAATTAATCCTTGCTTGCGAATCACACAGTTTTTCATGCATATTTTCGTGATATAGCCATTCCCCATTCATGTGGGGGATTGTTGGATTTTTTTTAAAGCTTAAATGTAGCTTAAAAGAGGGTGAATAGGAAATGGAGGAAAATTGAAATATTTGAGTTTCCCTTCCTTGACAAAGGGACATTGTCCCATATTGGAAGAGAAAAAAATTTTGATGGGTATATATACAATTGCACTTCTTCTAGCTCTTAAAGAGTTAAGAAGAAGGCAAGCCTCGCGCCGTCGTCGCTCGCTCGGCTCGGCTACGGCTACGACTACGACTACGACTACGGCTACGGCTTCGGAAATATTATTAAATATCCGTTTTTTTATAAACGGAATATTAATATTAAATCCAACAGAATAGTATATGCCCTTCGCTTTTTATAAAAGACATTTACAATATGGCCGAAACAGTTTGTACCTCTTCGGATTTGAAGAAATAGTTTGTACCTCTTCAGATTTGAAGAAACAGTTTGCACCTCTTCGGATTTGAAGAGTTGCACCTCTTCAGTTTGAACTCAACATTGGCTATAAATACTAGTCCATTCTCTCAGATTTTTAATACGAATTTCTTACTTCTCCTCCTTTCTTTTGCATTGTTTTAAATACAAAAAAAACAATAATAAGTGTGATTTGCTACCGATCTTTGTGTTCGCTGAAACATTGGAGTTTGACGTATCGCTACACCAGTGTGTAATTTATTCTATTCTGAGAGGAAATAATCCACAACCTTGGGTAATAGGAGGGGATTAAATTCCTTAACGAAACACTGTGAATTCAGTGGGATCAGATTAAATTCTGTTTCTTTTACATTTCTGTTTATATGTTAGTTTATCTTTTCCAAAATTATTTTACAAATACAGATTAATAACACTATTCGATATCTCTCTTAGGCTTTTCAATATGATTTCTTTACCTTAAACTGTATCTGACTAACTTGCAGTCTAAACTGTCTGCTCTTATATGTGATTCGAGTAGACAACTGAAGCCGTGTTTCTTATTAATTTATCCCTCAACTAAACCAAACAAGAATTTGTTTTGTTTTCAGAATAAACAATAGAACCACCCCCACCCTACCACCCAATTACAACGAATATCCAATAAAGAGAGTAAATCGAATTGAAGACGTGTAAATCGATTTCTTTATTGTCTCTGTTATTTACCTGAATTATTATATCTTTGCTTTTTATATACCCGTGAAATTAACCTTTGAATTTTTTTCCTAGGTACATTTGTGACCTTTTGAAAAAGGTCCACGACAACTTCTCTATTTGTCGTTATTTTGGTCTATTAAATTGGTAAATTGAAAAGGACAACCGAAAGAAAAGTAGTCGTTTCCGTATTTACGATCAATTTAATACTCGTTTGGTCCCATTTTATGTGATATATATTTATTTATTTTTTAAAAATATTTCTCTAAAAGAATATAGTAACAATTTTCACGTTTGAAATACTCTTTAATCTTACCATTCCCTTTTTACCTTAATGACATGGCTTGTTGAGACAACTTGATATAAACACAATTCTTTTTATAAGAAGAGAAATTGAAAAAGACAAAGCTCTTATTAGTGTTAGGATAAAAAAAATTAGGTGTCATGCGGAAGCTAGTAAAGCAAACCTTGAACGACGATAAATCAGATAACAAATTAAAGAGAAATTTACTAATAGAGACACAAACATTTAACGTAGTTCGGTCAATTGACATACGTCTACGGATGGAGATGACCAATCCACTATATAAAAGAGAGTACAAAATATCGAGAGAACAAACCCATGAAGAGGTAAACATAAGCGACACACTAACACATGTCCATAAAGTTCTCCCCCTAAACACGACTCTGAAAATCCCTTATGACTACATTGTAGATGATGTTGAATGAGAATGAAGGATTCTCAATTTATAGTAGTTTAAATTTTTTCCTCCAAGAAAAGGGACTAGCCAAATATGGGATATTTATAATTTTCCTCTAAGAAAAGAAAATCTCAATTACGATAAATATGTTGCCATTTCCTTTAAGAGATAAGAAAACCAAATATGATAAGAATATCAGGACAAATATATAATAATTACCACTCATTAAAAATAATTTTGGTACTTACTACTCCATGTTTAATTTACATAAAAAAAATTAGATATAAAAAAATTTCTGTAACTTTTCGTGATTAGTCAACCACTTTCACATAAGTATAATGGAAGAGATGGAGTATCAGAACACTAAACAAGCTGAAATTAAAAATCTTAAGATAGGTCAATAATTGAATGATATAAATGTTAGGAATAACTTCTTTTAGCAACCGGGAATCTGTTATAGAGTCCTTAATTAGGACTTCACATGTAGTCTGCCCTTTCTTCTATTCAGTGTTCACATTTCACTCGAATATCCCAACCTGCACAACACCCCGGTTACTGCCACTTAAACCAAGTCTTTTTTGCTCTGCTCTTTTCTTTTCTTTTATTTTACTTTTCTGTCTATGAAGTCGTAGAATTTGTGACCTGCCAAAAATTAGGTTAAATTACTCTAAATACCTCTGTAATATTATTTAACTAACCACATATACATCTTCTGTGTCTTAAAGTTATATACTTGTAAAATGGTGAAATTCCTTTATGCCAAAATTAAACTCTTAAACCCATTATATAAATAATAAGAAACAAATATATTTATCTAAGTAAATCTTATCCAACGAGATCTTAGTGTAGGTAAACTTAAGATAATTTGAGCGGAGCAATAACAAAGAAAACTAAAATAACTGAAATATTGGAGCATCCACTAGATGCCAAAAGAGTATAATTGTAAACATAAATAATCGCTCACATACCGCTTAAATTAATGTAGAGCCTTTGGGCTTCATATATATCCTAATCTCAATGCTAAGGTTTAGAGACTTCGGATGCAAAACAGTAAGGTTGGTTTGGTTGCTAACTAAGATATCCTGGAAATTACAATCCTATGATTGTTTATAATCTCACATCGAATGTGGGAAAAATAATGCTTCCTCCGTTTCAATGTGAATTTTTTTTTTTACTCCATGCCAAAAAGAATGACTCATTTACATATTTAAAAATAATTTTATTTTATGCAATGATTTATAGATACAAAAAATATATGTGTATTATTTTACACCACAAGTTCAAAAGTCTTCTATTTTTTAAAATCCGTATCCAGTCAAATAGGTTCACATAAATTGAAACAAAGATTAATAAATTTTTGATATAAAATTATATCGATATTAATTAATATCCATAATTAAATACGAAAGAAATGTAATTTCAATATATATATANTTGGTATAGTAGTTGTGACTTATTCACACTATATACATTTGGCTTCCGCAACATATAGTCTATGGGATATATATATATATATATATATATATATATATATATATATATATATACCATAAATAAAGTATTCTAATCTCGGTAACAAAAAGAACCCAACTATTGTGCGTCTCCCTCCTCTCTCTCTCGTTGTATTCTAGGAATTGGAGGGGGTGAATGGAGGGCATGGTTTGAAGAGGCCTATCATAGTACTATTTCTTGAATGTATAGCTGTAATTTGATGACAGATATTATAAAATAAACCTTTTCACATTTACACCTTTTAAGGGAAAGTCAATGGAATTCTTATTGATGCAAAGATTAAGCACCATAAATGAAGCAGTAGAGGTAAAAGAACTAGAATTAATCTAAATAATCGTTTATCCAATAGTTTAAATTAAAAATAATCAATANTAAGTGGATATTTGAATAAAAATTTCTATTCTTTTTTTCAATTTTCCTCATTAATAATTTTTGGATGCATTTCGTACGACGCACATATGCATGGAGCTTTTAGAGAATCCATAGTTGAGATTTCTTCATTGAACCAAATAATTGAGTGTCAAATAATAGTAAAAGAAAAAAACATACTCAGATCGATTACATTATTTTGAGCAATTTTAACGAATAAATAAATACTACTCTAGTGGTTTTAGATACCCAGTGTTGTTGGTTTATTGATGAGGTCATCAATCAGCATGAGAACTACGTCATAGGATATCGTCGTGTTACAGACAGTTTTAACCCAAAACGCGGATCCAAAAGAGTTCAATGACGAGTGGATTATTACTTGTATAATACAAGTAGACATTTAATTTTCTAAATAAAATGTCTTTTTGGTGGGGAACAAAAAATAAAAGTATCTTTTTAGGACGTGGAGGAAGGATCAATTATCTAATAGTAAAACAATTTGACTAAAACAAGTGACAAGCTTGGTATTGGGTAAACAATTATTATTGTACTCATTTATGAGGTAAAAAAATTAATATTATCATTCATTATCATTCAAAATAAAAAATTTAATTAAAAGCTCTGATATGTCATTGATCACACATGCTCTCTCCTCGTCGTTCTTTCAAAAACTTGCAGAATGTATTAAGTAAGAACTTGTTGTAGGTTGAGGTATTTAAGAATTAAAAGAATGGTTGTCTCCAGAAATGGTCTAAGGGTTCTGTCTGAAAATTGTCAAAGGGTTCTGTCTGAAAATTGTCGATGGGATTTGTCCAACAAAAGTTCAAGAAATCTGCTGGAAGTTTTTCCATTGACCTGATATGATCTTCTTCAATCCAATCCATTCCATTTAAAAGGGAACAACTCGAATATAAATCACTTGATGAAACCTCTACTGAAGTGTCAACGGCATTAACACTAGCAGATTGCAACTCTTTCATATCACAGCCAGCTTCCTGTTCTGAAACTTTATAATTAGAAGAGTGTTCATTTTGAGATTTTACAAACTGTGAAGATTCAGTAAATTGCTCCGTTGACGTTGATGATATTATATTCGCACGTTTCTTAAGATGAGCATGCCATTGGTTTTTGATATCGTTGTCCGATCTTCCTGGTAATTTTGCAGCTATGGCTGACCATCTGCAAGATTTGAATACTATGTTTAGAACATTTAATTTATATAGAAGGCGTACTCAAAATGTAATAGTACAACTTAGTTTAATCAAATGTAATTTCTACCTGTTTCCAAGTTCATTGTGTAATTTAATAATGAGCTCCTCTTCTTCATTGCTATAATTGCCTTTCTTCAAACCGGGCCTCAAGTAATTCATCCATCTCAGTCTGCAGCTTTTCCCACATCTCAATAGACCTGAAAAATATCCTAAAAGAAATAAGAACTTTCAGAAAGAAAAAATAAAAGAATTTTGGGGCTCCATATATATATATATACTATATACTAACCAGCATATTTAGGCAATTGGCGCCAATTCGGATGACCATTTTTTTCCACAAAAGCTCTTAGTTTGTTGTCTTCTTCTTTACTCCATTCGCCTCTTTTAATTCCATGCTTGTCAACACAAGGAGTTCTCACCATTTTCTTTGGAACACCTATATATATTCTCTCTTGGTTTTCTTAATTTGATTTCTTTTGCTTATACTCTCTCTTGCACTCTAATATTTCCTCTCTTATATATATATGCAGTTCGACCAGACAACTTAAGCCGTGTTTCTGATTAACAATGGAACCCCACCTCCCCCCCCCCCCCCCCCCCCCAAAAAAAAAAAAAAAAACAATTATATCTGGGCTTCAAGGTCAAGGCATAGATCCTATAAAGAGACTGGCTTCACTGTCTTGACTCTAGTGATAAGCTTTCCACACTAACTGAATATTCAGTGAAGACGTGTTAATCGATTTCTTTATTTTCTATGTTATTTACCTGAATTATTGCTTTGCTTTTCATCATTATATCCCCGAGAAATTTACCCTTTCACTTTTTTCCCTTAATTTATAAATGACCTCCTGAAGAAACGTAAAACGATTTTAAGTTAATTTATATCAAAATATTAAGTGATTCATGCCCAATATGAAATTCAATAGACAAGAGGCACTAATCGTATCCACCAACTAGGGTGTACAAAGAAAACCGATAAACTGCACTAAACCGATAATCCGAGTCAAATCGAAATAAAAACTGATGTGGTTTGGTATTGGAAAATAAAACCCGACCATAATTAGTTTTGTTTGGTTTTAACTAAAAAAAGTCAAACCGAAACCAAACCAATCCGATAGTACATTTATATAATTTTTAAAAATATTTTATACATATAAATATTTATTGTAATGTAATTTATAAATATTTCTTAAACTTTTTCACAGTTTTATCTTTTAACATATTATTTGAAGTTTAGACTTAACATTCTTGAACGGAAATAAATTTTAAAGCCTATAAATGTAGTAACTCAAACAAAGTTCAAATCAATACTAATGCTAAAAAAAAAAAATTAATTTAATACTAGGAATCACAATAGCGTTGGATAATTATTTTACTTTTATATTGGTTTATAATGAAAATGCATAACTTAGTTTATCTTTTTCTTTAGTGCTTAGTTATATAATTAATATTAGTACTTATTAGCTATACTTATTTTAGCATGACCTCTATAGTATTTTTAAATTATGTTAATTTTCATTATGGCTTATTAATTAGCAATATTTGTTTTATATAATTTTATTATTTTATATTTATTATTTAATATTTTAGTATAATGCTATGACTTATCTCATATTATTGTGTTAGTTTCTTGGAAAATACATTATATAGTTGTATTTTACTAGGACTTAAGAAATATTTTGGAGTACAAGTTACATATTTTATGCTATGAAGACTTTACCAAAAAAACCCGAAAACCCAAAAAACTCAAGAAAAATCGAGATTCAAAAACCCGACGAGGTTGGTTTGGTTTGGTTTATAAATTTAAAAACCCGACACCATTGGTTTGATTTGATAATTGAAAATTTCGAACCAACCTGGCTTATGTACACCCGTACCTGATATCACCAACTATAATTGCTTAACTCGTTTTTAAATTTAAATATTTAAGACAATGTTAATAATTTCCAACATGGATAACTTCTATATTTGTCGTTATTTTGGTCTAGATGAATCGAAAGGGACAAAAGAAAGAAAAGCCCCCTAAAAAAGAAAAAAAGATGAAGTCCACTCGTTATGTATTACGATTACCTTAATAAGTAATTAATTGATAAGGAGCTCTCACTAAACAAGCTGAAATTAAAAATCGTACGATAGTCAATCATTGAATGTGCATCTCTATACCATACCATATGAAGAACCAAGTACTTTTATTAATCAAACTCTCTGTTATAGAGTCCTTATATGCGTTCACATGTAGTCTGCGCTTTCACATTTCAAGAACTTATTTTGGCATTATTAGATCTCAGTGACACATGGAGTCTCTATACAAGGAAGAAAATACTAAAAAATTGTATATTAGCTGCTGTTAAAAGGTTAGACCCAAATTGAAAGTGATCTTTTAAGGTTTTTAAAGTTAAATGAGTTTATAAGACGCCTTCTAAAGTACGTGGTTTTATGTGTAGATAGGCCCGGATATAGTTTCTAATTTAATGATGGGCTAAATTAGAAATACATAAATTTATGTATCTATTAATAGGGTTATGTTCCTCAAATCAGACGTAGGGTTTTCTTTCTAGCATTCCATCGTTAGGAAGGTGATTACGGCTTACGTATTGATTTGGAAGACTACTAACCGCTAGACTGAAGAATTCGAGTCGTTCTGATGGATTCAGGTACGTTTCCGCATCTGGTATTTATTCTTGATGAATTGACATGATAAATCTTGAGTAAAAGATGACGCTGTTTATCTTTAAAGTAATTTGGTTCTAACAATTGATATCAAAAGCCTATATTATGTTAAATCATTAAGACGTTTTGAAGGGTAAAACAAAAAGATTCATGTTCAAATTCATTGCTTCTACTAAGTCTATCCCGTAGTTCCAAATTGGAGGTCTGATCGCCGTTTGGAATATGTGGCCAGGAAAAGGCCATAAAAGGCTGCTATTGATTTTTTGTGATTATTTTAATATTTGGTAAATCAGTTTTTTTTTAACCAAAAAACAAAGTAGATTAACTATGAAGTTCTTTGGCTAACACCTCTTTACGACAAGTTAAGAATTTGAGAGCTTGCGTTACGGATTGATTCGCCACCATCTCTTACAGATAAGAGTACCTCTAATGAAAAGAGGGAGATGAAAAGGTGGGAGAGATCAGATCGCATGTGTATGATGATCATGAAGAAAGTCATTCCAAAAACATTCAAGAGCACTTATGTTCGATAAGGTTAAGATGGCTAAAGAATTTATGGCTGGTATTTGTCAAGAGTGTAAAGGCTGAGATTGGTACACTCTTGACAAGTCTGACTTCAATGAGGTATCAAGGCAAAGGTAACATCAGGGAGTACATTATGAAAATGTCTCATCTTGCTTCTAAGTTGTAAGCACTTAAGTTGGACCTCTCTGAGGACTTGCTAGTGCACTTGATTTTGATATCCCTTCCACTACAGTTTAGCCAGTTTAAGGTGAGCTATAACTGTCATAAAGAGACTTGGTCTCTAAATGAGCTCATCTCGCACTGTATTCATGAAGTGGATAGACTGAATCAGGAAAAGACAGAAAGTGCTTACTTAGCCGATGTGCCTAAGGACAAAAGCAAGGACAAGAAGAGAAAGAATAAGGATGCTGTAGATACACCAACACAAAACAAACAATCAGGAACCAACTACAAATGGTTGTTTCTTTTGTAAAGCTAAAGGTCATACGAAGAAGGATTATACCAACTATTACGCATGTCGTACAAAGAAAGGTATACCTCTTAATTTTATTTGTTCTAAGGTTAATTTGACTTTGGTACCAAGACACATATGGTGGATAGATTCTGGGATATAACAATTCACATCACTGTGTCTAAGCAGGGTTGCCTAAACTATCGAAAGCCTGATGATGGTAAAAGATACATCTACGATGGTGACAACAAGTCGGAGGAAGTCGAAGCAATTGAAACTTTTAGATTGTTGTTAAGAATCGATTTTATTTGAATTTGTGTTGTTAAGAACCGATTTTATTTGAATTTGAACGAGACTTATGTTGCACCATTTTTTTTTGGGGATTTGACTTCTGTTTCTATTTTAGACAAGTTTCGTTATTTTTATTTATTTGGAAATTAAAAAAAATTAGTCTCTTTCATAATTCAAAATTGGTTGGTCCCGGTTCTTTATCAGGTTACAATAACCTATACTTACTTGATATGGTTATTTCGTTGAATGAACCTTGCATGTTAACATAACTGGTAATAAGGGTAAATTAACCATCCAGTAGACAACTTCTTTATGGCACGAGAGATTAGGTCATATCTTTAAAGGAGAATTAAGAGACATTCGTCCTATAATATTATCCCTATTATCTATCCCCTTAATATTTCAGAATTTTTATCCCACTACTAAGGCTACTTTTTCAGTAATGTGAGGTTCTTTGAGGATGTTGAGTTTGCGNAATGCTTAGGAACAACTTTCTATACCTGATATTATTCAAGAAGGAGATTCGGATCAAAGACAATAACATTCAACCAGTTCTTCAAGAAGTAGTTCCCAAAGAACAAACTCTACAACCTCAAGAATAAATTTCAATGTAGAAAATCATTTATGGATTTAAGAAAGTGTCTCGTAAATATTATTACTTATTTCATCAAGTTATTGTCTTATTTGGTTTTGAGATAAATTTTGTTAATTATTGTGTATGCCACAAGTTTAGTAGGAGTAAGTATATTCTTTTTATTGTCTCGTGTATAATCAGCTTTGTATGCGTCCGAATATCTCATTTAATTTAGGGATGTTGGGCAGATATTCAAATAATTTATAAACTTATCTTTTGAAAGCAGCTTAAGGATTCAAAAGGTAAGTATAGAGAACAAATATTTTATGCTCACATAAAGGAAGTCGAAAAAGTTGAAGATAATCAGGTATTCAGATATCGACTTCACTAGATGTTGATATGATATAACATATGTGATGACCCGATAGGTCATCTTTAAATTTAACATTTAATTCTGTGCTCTGAGACCTCAAATAGTACCATTCAATATTCCTCGACTTGCGTGCGCATTTCGTATATTTTTTTATGGAAAGCCTTTATGTGAAAAAATGATAAAAATGTGAAATAGTGCTTTAAAACTCACTTAAGTTGACTTCGGTCAATATTTTGAACAAACGGACCTGAATCAATATTTTGACAGCCCCGATGGGTCCGTATTGTGATTTGGGACTTAGGCGTATGCCCGAAATCAAATTCGAAAGTCCATAGCTCGAATTATCGCCATTTGATGAAAATTAGAAATTTAAAGGTTTAAATAATTCCTAAATTGGCCATAATTGGATGTTTGTTGATACCGGGTCCCGATTTGGATTCCGAGAGTTTGTTCAGCTTCGTAACAATAATTGTGACTTGTGTACTAAAGTTGAAGTTTTCCCAAGGTGTGTAGGCACATTTCCGTTAGGTTTTGAAAATAAATAAATAAAAGGTTTGATTTTATAAAGCTTGAATTTCTATAGTTTGACGGGAGA